TCTTTTCTCCCACCAGCAGAGGTTCTGCTGTTTTGAATAAATTATTGAAGCTCACCAGTTCTACTCATTCCTCCACTAATCAGTGGGCATAAATACAGCAAGGCCGTTGTTTCCACATGGCCAGGCGCTCATGGGAAAGTTGAAGTTGAATGAAGAGGGAGGAGCAGGAGGAAATTGGGTAGAGGAGCGGTGGGAGAGAACTGAGGGTTGATGTGTGGAAGGTGGAGATGTAATAGAGGATGGAGTGTTTGATGAGAAAGAGATGGAAATAGTCGATCAATTATTCAAGGCAGGAACAAAAGATAGAAAAGGAGAGGCTATAAAGAGAAGGAATAAAAACCAGAGGCAGTTCGTCAGGGGAAATTGAATGAATCTCAAACAAGATACTGTTCTATAATGTACAGCAAGTATTTAGTTATTGGCCACTGATGACTGTAGTTGCACATTTGAGGAATTTATCTATCATGTTGCTGTTACGGCTGATTTTCTACTGATGAGTGGCTAACCACTTTATTGAGTGTGTATTTAGGTGTGTGTGTGTGTGTGTGTGTGTGTCATACAGATCAGAGCACGCCCAGATGTGCAGGAGCTGCGTCAGTGGCAGAAACATCTCAGAGAAAAGCAGGACATTGCAAGAACTGTCCGCCACTTCTGGGCCCAACAGGAGAGCAGAGGTGAAAGCACGAGCACATGCATACGTGCACACTCAAAGATGCACACACGAGCACATGCATACGTGCACACTCATAGATGCACACACACATGCTTACATACTAAACGGGAGGCCTCATCATCTTGAGAATATTCTACACATGCATACATTAACTACACGATGCATTCTTAATGACACACTCAGAAACTATACATGATTCATACTGATGTAGAGGAGAGGTGACAAATCTGAGCACAGTGATGGTTCTGGTTCGTACATAACTGTGTTAGAAAAGTGATTTCAAGACAACTCTCCATTCACACTCACATTTACACCTATTGTCATTTAAGAATATTCAGTCAACTAAATCACCTACTGTGGCCCACACACAAACATATCAAAATGTATTAATTACACATTAATGATGCACCATTAGTGTACTCTACACAAAGTACCTTCAGCAAAGGGAGAAACTTCAGAGCATTCTTGATTGCAAGCTGAATATTTGATCAAAATCTGTCACTTCCAGTGAAAACCTCATGCATTTTCATCTCTGCTTCTTAAAGCTTAGTCTAAGACCATGAATCATAACAGGTCTCACTGCCGTCCATTGTCCTAAGGTTTAACAACATCACTGACAGCTAGCCAACGTGGAATATGTTGTAAGTGTTTGCTGTAAATCAATATTACTTTATTTATGTTGTTTATGTTTACATTCATATCCCACGTTGTCTCTAAACCAGCTGTTCATGGTGACAACATAAACAAACAACATGAGTCTAAATACAGTTTTATTTCCACACACTGACACATTCCACACAACAAAAGCACTGCACGTAGCCGCGGCAGACCAGAGAACATTCTGTCACTCTGGTGACACAGCGGCACAGTGCACCACTGCTGACCCGACATTTTAGCATTCGACCTGCGTGTGTGTGTTGTCCAGACTGTTCTGGGTAAAAACAACTCTGTCACCTCTTTTCAATTAATGAGTTCAGAAAAGAAGGATCTAGATTTTTTACATTAATGAGAGATGAACCTGTTTTGTTGTTGTTTTGGATCTAATGAAAGCAGTTCTGGCACCTGACGGGCAAATGATCCCTGTGTGAGATGAGGAGATGAGGCAGAGACATGATATTGAGAACTTATTTAGGGAAACCCCTTGCCCTTCCCATGGTGCATCTGCACACATTCTGAGTCAACCCTGCGACAGCTGCAGCTTGTCCTATTTGACCTGAGGATCCTAGCATGTGATCCTTCATTGTCATGTCATGTTTCACAGTCTAAAGTCACATTTACTGTGTGGTACAGAAGACAACAATAAAGTAAATTAACCCAGAGAGTGAGTGATACTCCAGGGTCACAAGGTCAAGGCTGATGGGACAGGTGCAGCTCTCAACACCTCATGAATCACCACAGGACTGTCCCTGACCCTAGATCTGTGTCTTAGATGTTTAGCATCAGTGCAAACCCTGTTCAGACAGCTCAACGGGAAACTGCTGTTCTCTTTAATAAGGATTACTTACAACAAACACAAAAAACCCCTGACTTTTTGGCTTTGTTAATTATTTCACATTAACAAAAATACATAATTTCATCTGTTATGTGCACAATTATAGATATTTTATTGCTAAAACTTCTGTCAGATGCTGCTATTAATGGTATTTTATCGATGATGTCACCAATTAATGTAATTAGAGTAAAAGGCTCCCAAGTGTAGTTTTTTTTATTAACCACCAAAAACTCAATCGTTTTAATGGTGCTGCTTCTTCTATAACCTACAGTGGCCTCAGCTATGAATGATCTTCCAGAGAGCCCTCAGTCCAGAGATGTGTCCATACAAGTCCTCTCCCCTACCCCCCAGAACACAGCGGTCCACACCCCCACCACCCAGATGACCCCTGAACCTGGGGAGTGGCTGACACCCAGCATGTACATCGCAGAGAAACTGCCCCCCATAGCACCGCAGAATAAATTGCCGACTGCCGCAGAGCCTAGCCTAGCATCTCTGACTGTAGTGTCTCCATCTCTACTGGGCCCCCACCACCTGCACTAAACTGCTGGCACTTGCAATACAATATCACGTGTGTACAATGCTTTCCCTATCATCTGGAGGCCATTCAATCTTGTCACAATGATGGTGAAATGACCAAAGCCATCATTCAAACGGCCATTTAAAATCACTTGTACCAGCTGGATGTGTACGCAGGGATTTATGGTGTGTGAAACAGATGTAATTAGTTGATTGCTTTCACTGCCTTTTTTGTGATTAATTGTTTCCATTTTTTTACGAGTCCCAGCCAACAAATTAAAAACACAACGAGTTTCACATATTACTCTGTCAGCAGGGAAACCTCTCTGTTTCCTCCCAGCACCTCGGGCTGGCGTCTCACTGGAAGACAATCCTTGTCATTTCCTTTTGTCTAACAGCACACATCACTGCACAAACAGAGGTCACAGCATTTTCATTTAAGCCAGGAACTGAGGCCAGAGTGACGGGCCCGTCAGTGAGCAGAGACACTCACTCTGCTGTTTATCACAAAAGGAAATGATCCTGTCGGGAGAACTGTTTTTTGTTTTGTAAAAACTGGTAACTGAACTGGAAAAACGCTAGGCGAAAATAGTACTGTCCTATTGTGTTCAATGTTATTACATTTGTTCATTTGTCAGTCATCATCTTCCCCAAATGAATAAAGTTAATTCTACCACTTAATCTTGTAACATAGCATCTTTGCATCTTCTTTTTCTTTCGGCTTTGTCCCTTTTTCAGGGGTTGCCACAGCAAATCATTGATTTCCATCTCTGCCTGTTCTCTGTATCTTCTACTCTGACTCCAACTACCTGCATGTCCTCCCTCACTGCATCCATATATCTCCTCTTTGGCCTTCCTCTCTTTCTCCTACCTGGTAGCTCCATCTCTAACATTCTTTGCATATTCCTCTAAAAGACTAAAAATTTACCAGACTTGATTTCAATAATATATTGCTTTATCTTGGAAGTAAGCAATTTCACCCCTTCATGCTTTGCAGCATTTATTGCTTTTTATGACATACAGTGATCAAACCTGACCCTAAATATCACTAGTCAACCTTGGGATGGGGACATTTAATTAAAATATAATTTTCTGCACAGATTTTTCAGATAATTGAAGTATGCAGTGGCTCTTGATGGACTTTGCTTGTCTCAGGTTTAGCCTTAAATGTTGTACAGGTTGCAGCTGGTGTTTCCAGAAAGTGTGACTGTTTAACTGTGTCATTAAAGCGCACTCTTCGTACGTTTCCATCACTTCTTGTACCTAGTGTCAAAGCGGATGTTTCTGGTTTCCTCTCCAGTGACACTGCAAAGCAGTGAGATGGGGTTTTTATGACAGATGGCTTTACTGATCTCTTGTACCCAGCATGCAGTCAGTAATGCTCTGGCTCCCAACGTGCCGTGCAGAGGGTCATGTATCTTCCTTTGCAGGTATGTGGATGCCTTGGAGACAGCTGCCACAGGCACACTTGATAAAACAGCACATTTCACTCTGCAGATATCTGATAGTGCAGCCAGCTCCACTTAGTTTGGCAACACCGGGTCTGACTGAAACTGGATCGCACAACAGTAGGGAAGCAGCGGGCACTGTTCTGTCAGGGTAAAGACAGACAACAGCTGGTTCTGAGCAGTAAGCTGAAGATGGTGGAGGAGAATACAACTGTGTTCACACACACACACACACACACAGATCCAGAGTGAGACTGAAACATTTCAGGTCCATGTGGAGGACACTTGTAAAGACACATCATTAACAGTTCAAGAGTAAAGACAGAGTGGTACTGTGTCAGCGATAGTGTCGTTACATCAGTGTGTCAAACTCATTTTCACTGTAATTAAAAAAATAATTGATCAAGTTAAGAAACTCCGCAGCATGGACTCTATTATAAGGCAATTAAATACTTTTAAAGCTCCCAAGGGCCACACAAAATGACCTGCACAGGCCACATTTAGTCCACAAGTCTTCAGTTTGACACGTGCCTTACATAAAGCACACAGCAGAATGTAAGCCTTCACTCAGCTGTTTTTTCTTCACATCTTACAATACCATGCTAGTTTTTGTAATGAAACATTGACCAGAGACCATCCTCAGGTTAAATAAGCTATTTTGTTAAATAAGAACTCTAAATTAAGGTCAAATGTTCATGTTGGATTAGTTAATGGCCGCCAGGAAAAAGCACCACACTGCCACTGATCCCATTACTAACAACAAAATTTGCAGTTTGTCTCACTACATTAAACATAATCAAACACAGAGCAGCAAGGCACGGCAGCCTTTCAGAGCTGCACAGAATAAAAGTAAAATGACGCTGCCTACCATGTTGAAGAGCTTCAGGATGATCAATCTGTAAAGTAAACCAAAATCATAGACAAATCACGTTAAGTATTAAAGTTTTGGTGTGAACACTGTATTTGTCAAATAATTTTTTTTTTTTTATTAAATAGAAAACCTGAATTTGGCACTCACTTTGTGCACTTCAACACTGGACAACTTCAACCTGGTCTCCATGCGCAGGAATCCTGGCATATCTGTTCATTTCAAATATTGATTGATTATAACTTTAGTACAAGAAACAGTTTCTGTTAGACAAAGGGGTGCCCACACTTTTTTGGCTTGGAACCTCTTATTCACATGACTACGCTAAAGTGATCTACCCACATTGAAAACCTTATAATATTTCTGCTATTACAAACTCAACATACGTCATACACACATGTTTGGGTACAGATTCAATGCATGTAGCCCTATGGTACAGTATGAATAAATTCTTATAGTACATGGTCACTACTACACACTATAGAATTATATTTATTTATTTATTTTATTATTTCAAATGATCTACCAGCCCTCCCTCTGCAATCTACTTATTGGGCACCTCGTTTTATATATTTACTGTAGAAAACACTGACTTTAAACACACAAAAAAAAGTTAAAACTTGATTCAGTGAGTACACACACTCTCCAACCATTCTGACGTGGTTCAGCCATTTTTTAAAAGTAGTTTCAGCAAAACAAACAAACAGATCCATACATTTTTCTTCAGTTAAGTCAGTTAGCTCAAATTATTGCAGTCAAAACACAAACAGTACGGAAGAAAAACACAAAAGCCTCTTACCTTTCTATCCCAGTTGTCCAACCGGACCAGGTCGAGCAGCCCTTAAAGAAAAACGTCGTTCACCTGTGTTTTTTTTAAGCGTGCAGCAAACTGTTTCGGCGTCTGACGTCACACAGCGCGACCGCAAAGAGCTTTTTTTTCCTTTTGCCTCTTCCGCTGTATCTGTGTGACGTACTAAACCGGAAACGATTGCCCCGACCCCTGCCAGGACGCCCGCAGATGATCAAGAAAGTTATTCGTCATACTTTTTAAATCAATAAACACATTATCTTATAAAGTGCCGTTAAATAAATCTACGATAAACTAAAATATAAACTAAATAAATTGAGAAATTAATGCATAATTATATGGAATGTATTTGAACATATTTACTTAAAGTGGAAAAAACAGAAGAAAAAAGAAAGCACAAAACAACACTTAAAACGTATTCCATAAGAAAAAGGCAGGGATCCCCAAAGTGTAAGCTGCCACTTCATAGAATTCATAGATTTTTTTCAGAAAGTAAATAAATATTTCCTTTGTAAAATTTAAAATCAAAAGCTGAAATTTTATTTAATATAAACAATAATGATTTTAATAAATAAATGCAGGCTATATATTTTGTTGCTGTTGTTTCCAAAACATAAAAAACATTGTGTATTATTCTCAAGGAGGTCAGTGTACAATATATGTATTTAGCACAGTTTTGATTCTACTATGATGCCTAGAAGAAAAATCACCACAGCCATTTGGGAATACCTACAAACATGACACCTTTATTGAACTTTTTTCCTGAATCAGTTACAGAAACATGAGATTCATCTGTTTATTTTTTTTACCTTTTATAATCAGAGGGATGGAGGTCAATACATAGGCATGCTGCGTCACTGCACAGTCACAGCTGTGAAAACCAGTATCACCCTGTCAGCTACAATTCGGGGAGGACAGGCAAGGACATGTCAAACCTGGGGAGAATGAGGGTTCACAGGCTACCCAGGGGGTGACAGAAATATAGGAAGTTTGTGCAAATATCACCACAGTCTATTTGATTTCAAACACAGACATGATACCAGTGGGAAAGTCCTCTCTTTATTCCCCTCAATTCTTTGAATGGACAGAGAAAAGTCCAACAACGTTGGCCTTTTGTCTCCATTCAGGACCAGTTTTCCTCTGACTTTGATCTTTTTGCTTCAGACCCAGCTCTGTTTTGTGTTTAATAAAGCACAGACATTAAGTGTGTCATCTGATATACACTGAGAATATGATTGCTGTCACATGACCCTCACATAAATAGAGTAAGTATTCAAAAGTACATCTGAGAAAGGTCTTACATGTAGAAATGGTGATAAGCATGCACAGATAGGTAGTTGACGAGTGCAAAATCTACAAAGTCACGTGTTATTTCCTTTATTTTTTTTTTGTACTCCACGTGAAGTGAAAACATCACAAGAAGAAGTTTTCTGGTGACCATCCAGAACACTGACGGACTATGACTCATGGGTCGGGTGCCAGGTTGTTTCTAAACTAAACAGAGCCATGGAGTCACCCACATAGAACCAGTCCTATTATAGAAGAGCCAGTGGTTAAGGCTCCATAAACGTACGGCACCAGTGAGGGGCTGATGATCCCCACGTCCTTTTTTTGAAGATGGTTTTAAGACACTGGGTCACCAGAATGACTTGTAGGCTTAAAGTGATACTGCCCTGTTTTTATTAACACTGTATTACAGTTAACTTTATTCTTTACTGCATGGATGCCAAAACAATTCACAGCCTCAATGATTATATCTAACAAAAATAAAGAAGTACATGTCTATTAACAGCAAAGAGTGGACCACTTCAGCCAGTAGGTCCAATGGGGTACCATGTGGTGTGTCCTTGGGCTCCATTGTGGCATGTGTTATTGCATGAAAAGACCAACTTCAAATCTCATTCCCCCAAGATTTCAGTAGGTGGATCAAAAAGTTTGATGATCACAAACATGATGTTGTTATCCTCATCGTATTATCATAGTTTTTGGGGCTGGCAGTTCACACCTGGATTCAGTCTACACTGTTCACTAATTGGCAAGAACAACTATCTGTTTCTCAAATAAGTTTTTAATATCTAGTAATTATAAAAATATCCTCACAGTGTTGATGAAAAGGGTCAATTCTATCTATAAACCCAAAGACTTAGTCTTTAAAAGCTAGCCTCTGTTATTTAGTAGTGTTTCTCTCACCAAAAACACAATTTTCAGAGACTTCGGAGAACATTTATCTCTTATATATTGTCTTTGCTATGCAATTTAAAGCCAGCCTCTGGTGGGCAGCATTGGTACTGAACATGAAACCGACCCACAAATCCATACTGACCCACATTTTACCCCACTTTGCATTCACACAGGCGTATATAGGTATGATGCTGACTGAGCTGTTTTGGCTATACTGCACAGAATGTACAAACCACATACTGTAAATCACTATACATGATCATATATCATATTTCCATAATTTCCTGAAACTTAAACCAAAGGATAAAAGCATATCTACTGTTGTCAAAAAAAAAAGTAAAATACTATTTTAAAACAAGGACACCAGCATGTGAGAAATAAATGAATGAACACAGAGCAAACCAGTAAAAAAAACAAAACTGTTTGCAGTAGTCATTTCTCCAGTGGGTCACATGACACCGGTGTCAAAACCTGACCTAAGGTTTAAAAAAAGTAAACAAGCAAGCAAAGCATTACAGCACTACTATGTACACAGCTCCTCTGGTGGAAAGAGGAGCAGATGTCTCGACGAGGGAAGAGAGTGTGAAACAGAGACACCAGTGAAACAAGACTCCTGCTGGAAATGGGGGCTTTAGCTTTAGCGGACCACAAAGAGACGGGAGGATGAAGAGGAGGTGGAGGAGGAGGGAGAGAGACTTGAGCAGATAAAGACGACATGGCTGCCCCCTCAGTGTTCACAGGAACACACACAGGCAGAACCGGGAGCCATTTTCTCTCACAGATTGAAGGTTGAATGAAGGAAGTCCAAGAGATTTCCCTGTCACTTTGACTCCTCACGGACCATCTCTCACACCCCCCGCACCTCCCTTCTCCTTCCATTTCATTTAATATCATTCTTCCAACCTCGCACTGTAAATCTGATCTTTCCTAAAGCTATAGGATATCTGTGTGAAGCAGCTACAGCTCTATATATAGTCTGTTTTCTCTACTCTCTCCCTCCGTGTTTCTCCTGCCCTTCTGTGGATCAACGGGAAAATATTTGTAAGGAAGATTTAGCACCAGAGCCGCCCAACCTTGACTTTGAAATTTCCCCCCTCAGCTGTTGACACACATAAAACACACAAACACTGATGTACTGTATACACGCCACACGGTAACACAGATACAGGAAGCAAGAACACGAGA